ATAAGGAAATTGTATGTAAAACTTTTTTAAAAAATTTTTATATATGATCGCCAATAATTACTGTATATGTATAAAGGTTAAAATATACTAAGTAAATCGACTTTTATGCAATAAATAAAGTTGTTCGGAAAGGCAAATTGTACTTATTTTGAAATCTTTATATAAATCGTCTAACTTTTTATTAATACATTTTTTATTTTACGTTTCTACAGAAAAAAATTAAATTTTTTTAGTTCTATTCATAAATACGTAAAATAAAAAAACATACTAACAAAAAGTTAATAGATTTGCATAAAAATTTCAGAGTAGATGTATTTTTTTGTTCTTCTGAACAACTTTACTTAGTGTATAAAAGTCGATTTAATAAAATTTGATTTTCCTATATAGAAACGATTTATAATTATATATAGATATGATTATAAAGAGGTAGTTTTATTAATACTATAGTAAAGTCATTTGCTCAAATTATATACATATGCCTTAGTAACATAATTTATAACCAAAGTTGAGTGTCTTGCTAAGAGAATAAAAAGTAAATTATATTAGTTATTTCTAAATTAGAATAGAAAAGCAGAGAACGCCTACTTTCTAACCTTGACTTGCCCAAATCTAATGCACTCTTCTGACTAACCCTATCATATATTAGGATTTGTGACTATCTCGCTGTTTTACTTCTATGATACATATTTTCTAGAAACACAAGTTTCACTATCTTTCGTTTCTTTTATACAATTTGTCAGTTTCGCTACCTCCTATTTAATAAAAGACAAACTAGTTTTGTATTTTGTCAGTACAAAATTTTCAGGTTTATTTAACAACTATAACTAAGATATTATGCCTTGAATCAGTCTAACTTTACTACACAATTGTACTTACCTTTTTAAATATCAATTTATAATAGAGCAAAACTAAGATTTTTTGGGATGTAAGATCATGTTATTTATTATTTGTGTATAAAACCAGGTTTTTTATAAAATGCAAAAAAATTATTTATGTAAAACATATAGGCGAAAATCTAATTTTATAATGTTTTTGTGAAATGTGAAAAATATTATAATTTTAATTAGTATTTTTAACTGATTTAGAAATTATTACTATGCATGTATATCATTTTAGAAATTATTTCTAAAGTTGGATTTAAATTAAAATTTGCATCAAAATCAACAAGAAGAAACGTACTCGATCCAAAGTGAATCCCTCATGCAATATGATCAATTAAAACTAAAATAAATAATTTTAGTTTTAATTGATCATACTGTGTGTAGGATTCACTTTGGATCAGGTACGTTCTCTCCTGTTATCAAAATCAAGAATTTATTGTTTTAATCTAATGATATTAATTCAATGCATATGTACAAAATGAGTCATTATATTTTACATAATATAAAATATTTGAGTGATTAGTTATTATAATTACATCATTATAAATAATTTTTTATAACACAATTTAAATGTATATTGAAATAAAACCAAAAACTGAACATAAAATAAATCTAATATACTTTAAATTGTTTATCAAATATTAGTCTCATTTAATATTATAATAATATATATATGTTTTACTCTTCATATTTTATTTTACCTGATCTAACTCATATATAAATTTCACTCTATATCTTTGAGTTACAGCATATATGTAATTGGTTTCTTTACAATAATTCAGGTTTTTAAATTTATTTTCAATTTATTTTCACTTTAATTTTTAAATTAATAATTTGGTTTTATATTATATTTATTTTATTTTTAAATATCAATTTCAAAAATTATATAAATTATTGATAAAAAAAAATTTTTTCTTCAAAATAGATAGTATAATTTGTGAAGTTGTTCCTTCTATTCATGGCAAGGATAAACTTGTTGTCGATGGTCATCTCATGGTTAATGACAAAACTCACAATGACACATATTACTGGTATTGTAAGAAGCATAATACATTATATTGTAGTATGCATGCAATAACTAAATTGACTGGAGATCAGCATAAACTAAAAAATGTATCAACTCATAATCATGCTGCAGAAGCAGCCCAAGCTGATATTGTAAAGGCGATTTCTAATATCAAAGAACAAGCACATCAAACATATAATAAACTCTCACAAATTATTCAAGCTACAACTTCTCAAATTTCTCAAGAAGTGCATTCATGTCTTCTAACACGTGAGGTACTTCAACAAGTAATTCAAAGAATTCATCGTTCAGATTTACTAAAAGAACCAGAATCTCTGGATGATCTTGTTATCCCAGATGATATGCTGAGAACCTTAGATAGAGTAAATTTTTTAGTCAAAGATTCTGTTGTTGGTCACAACAGAATCTTACTTTTTACTACTATTTCAAATCTCCGTAAATTAGAGCAGTCAACCTTCTGGATTATGAATAGGACTTTTAAAACAGTCTCTAATTTATTTGAACAACTTTATACAATTTATGGAAGGGTTAGTGGAAGTGAAAATTCACGTATATTTCCTCTAGTTTACACATTAATGTCAGGTAAATCTAAAAAATGTTATAAAAAATTGTTTCAAGATTTATTAGAATTTAGTGAAGAAAATGAAATAGATTTGCAACCGCAAATTGTATTAACAAATTTTGAAATAGTAGCAATAAGTGCAATTCAAGACGAATTTCAAAATGTTCAATGTAAAGGTTGCTATTTCTATTTGGCTCAAAGCGTCTATCGTAAAGTGCAATTGACTCATCTTACAAATAAGTACTCAACTGATGAGAACTTTAGTTTATTAATTAGGTAAAGATGTGTTAACATCTGTATATATATATAAAATCAAATTTAATTATGAATAATTTTTAGATTAATAAGAACTTTTGTGAATACTTTTTTTTTGTGAACACTTTAATTAAACTTATTTACAAAATGTTTTTATATTTATTTATTTATTTATTTTTGGTTTTTACATAATTAAACTTATCGACTAAATGTTTTTTTATTTTATTTATTTATAAAAAGTTATATTCATAACACTATGTTATATAACACCATACTATTAAATATATAATATACTAAAAACCTATACTCTTACCCTAATCTAGTTTATATAATTATTATATATAAGGTGTTATATAACATAGATGTTATAAATATAATATTTCTTTATTTATTTATTTTTGTTTTTTGCATAATTGAACTTATCAACTAAATGTTTTTACTATTTCTATAATTAGACATATTCCTACATTAGCATTTTTGCTGCCTAGAGAAATTCCTGGAGCTTTTGATAAGCTAAAAGTTATGATGCCTACTGAAGCCAATGAACTTATATAATGGTTTGAACAGTACTATGTTCGTGGTAGGGTGAGATGTATTATAAGAAATGGAACTGTGAACAGATCTGAGCTATTGTTTCTACTGAACCTCTGGTTAGTAGTTGATAATATTGAGTATCGTATTTCTAGAACTCAAAATTCCATCGAAGCCTGGCATAGGTGATGGAACACACTATTAGGTAATATATATCTGAGAGTTTTTAGAATGATTAGTGAGTTGCAAAAAGAACAAAACCAAGTGCAACTTGATATTGAATATGTTTTAAGAGAAGTGCCATAACCTCCACAAAGAAGGTATGCTCATGAATGTGAAGCAAGAATTCAAACTATATATAATGATCATGTTAATAGAACAGTTTTAGAATTTCTTCGTGATATTGCCCACAATATATCATTTTAAATTATTATTTTTTTCTGATTATTTTTTTTATTTTTTATTTCCTATTTTTAACATAACTAGATTTTGTTCTATACATTATTTAGACTAAAATACTATTACTTTGAGTTTGCACTCTATATATATTTTTCATTTTAATGATCTAGTTTACCTTTATTATTTGCTTCATTAGCATTTTAAAAAAAATAAATATATATATTATGTATATTTTTAACTACATAAATATAAATTTGAACTTATTTTGGTTTTATTCTAAATATATATTCATTCAAAATATTAATGCTCAATAATAATAATAATAATAATTGTAAAATAAGGTAGCTGTGCAATGTAATTATGCTAAAACTAGGAACGGAAAATATAATTTTAATTTAACATTAGTATCTAGAATATTTTTATAAAGATATGCTAATAAAAATATACTTTTAGTTATTGTCTAAATTATATATATATATGGGTAATTATTTTTGAACCTGGACCAATTTTATATATGATATAATAATATTTTGGTCAGAATTCAAAAGTAATTACCTATATTGTATTGATCATTCAGAGCTATCTGAGTATTCTGATCTGATCTGATCTTATCCCCCTAAAATTTTTTATCATACTTGGCTTGTATTTGTACTTTTTACTCGTATTTTTTGTTACACAATAAGATAGCTTTTTCTATAATTAATTTTATTGATGTTAATTAGTTTCATTAAAATCATGAACATAAATACTTATTCATAAATACTTAACGTTAAATACTTATTTACAATTAATTACCTAATACCCTTCAAATCATTTCATTCGCATTAATTAGTCGGTAAGTATAAAGATGATTTATTAACGTTAGTCAGTAGAATTAAAATCATGAACATAAATAAAAATATTAATCGAAAAATTATATGATTACAAAGGTCTGTTGAATACGGTAAATACGCACGCTGTAATAATAATAACGCTCAACTGGCATGGTGTCTGACATGTGATCTAGACATCACAGCACAAGAATGGGCAAGTAGAAACAAAGATATTGATGATTGTATTAGAGAATTTCAACTTAGAACCAAGAAATACGAATATTCGATTGAATAGATTCCATTTAATAGATTATCTAAAATTGTAGAGATTGGAAAAGGTGGGTTTGGATCAGTATATTATTCTAATTTTTGAGCACATTTTACGTTCCTGGTTTTGCACGATGACGTCGCGCAGCTATCTAGTTATTTAAATATTTTATCTTACTTTGCGAATATATCTTAAATCCTGTGATCCTACCAGTTTAAGATGTACCATGCACGGTATACGTAACCGTATATATTCATCTTTATAATTCTTTATATATCGTATCCCATCTAACCAGGTTGCTAAAACTCTACCACTGATCTGTTGAATGTTATCCAATTTATCGAAAGGAATCCACTCAATCACATTCTCATATTTAGGAGCTTTAAGTTGAAATTTTTTAATATAAACATCGATATACTTATTTCCACTTGTCCATCCTTTTGCTGTTTTATAAGGATCACATGTTTGACACCAAGCATTCGACGTGTTATATCGGGTGCAATTTGCACATTTTCCATTAGACTTATCTCTTTTAGAATAAAAGCTTTCAAATACTAACATATATTTATTTGTTTTAGTGTTTTGAGTTAGTCCGTACACTTTGAGATTACCATATTTTAGTTGTATACAATCTATCTATTTATTAATAAATAAATAAATTAAACTATAACTGCAAATAATAAAAAATTAAAAATTTTATCTTACTTCTTCTAATATATCTAATAAATCTTGTGAACCAGTCAACGTTTTGAGTTCTCCATGTATGCCGGTGTACGTGATTGTGTATATTTATAATCTTCATCTACATCTCCTTCATTTACATATCGTACACCATCTAACCAGATTGCCAAAAATTTATGGCAATGATCACACTTAGTGTAAAATCTGTGGCAATGACATACAGTTTTACACTTAGTGTAAAATTGTATGTTGTCTAATCTATTAAAAGGAATCCACTCGATCACATTCTTATACTCCGTGGTTTTAAGTTGAAATCCTTTAATACAATCATCGACATATTTATTTCCGCTTGTCCATCCTTGTATTGTTTTAGGAGGGTCACAACTTTGACACCAAGCCTTCGACGTGTTATATCGGTTACAACCTGAACATTTTCCATTATGTTTAAATCTTTCAAAACCAAAGCTATCAAATACTAACATATATTCGTCTGTTTCAGTGTCTTGGGTTAGTCCGTATATTTTTTGTGGACTATTCTTTAATTGCATAATTTCTTTAAACTATAAATTATAGAGTATGTTTTAAAAGAAACACAAAATCGTATACAAAGTATATAATAGAACCAATTTCAACTTACTCGAATTATAAAGTCTATTAAATTTTGAGAACCATGCAATATTCTAATGTCCACTATGCATGACAGTATACGTGACTGTGTGTATTTCTCCTTTCCATCTACAGCCAAAACCATTCGTGCTCCGTCTAGCCAGATTGCTAAAATCCATCAGCGATCTGTCGAATGTTTTGTAATTAATTAAAAGGAATCCACTCTATTACATTCTCATATTCTGTAGCTTTAAGTTGAAAATTTTTAATACAATCATCTATATCCTTATTACCGCTTGTCCATCCTTGTGATGTTTTCTGAGGGTCACATGTCTGACACCATGCTTTCGATGTGTTGTATCGGTTGCAATTTGCACATTTTCCATATAAATTATATCTTTCAGAACCAAATTGATCAAATACTAACATATATTCATTTGTAGTTGTGTTTTGAGTTAGACCATATATTTTATTACTTTCTAATTGCATTTGATTCTTAAACTTATAAATTAGATATAAAAAAAATATATAAATAGAATTCACGTTATCATTAAAGCAAATACAGTATATACAACGAATAATATAAACTTACTTCTTTTAAAATATCTAATAAATTTTGTGAATCAAGCAATACTTTAAGTTCCACTATGCATGAAGGTGTACGTGATTGTATATTTTTGTCATATTTTTTATCACATTCTAAATATCTTACACCATCTAACCAATTTGCTAAGAATATATCATCGATATGTTGAATGCTATCTAATCTATTAAAAGGAATCCACTCGACTACATTCTCATATTTTGTAGCTTTAAGTTGAAATTCTTTAATATAATCATCGATATCTTTATTTCCACTTGTCCATCCTTGTGTGATTTTCTGAGGTCACATGTCTGACACCAAGCGAAAGATGTGTTATATCGGTCACAACTTGCACAATTTACATTCATTTCTCTTTTTATAGAACTAAACTCATCAACCATAATTTAAAGTATGATTTGTAAAAAATTTGCGTATTTATGTCAATTCCCAAATTGTGATACATGAGATTTGATCACAAGAGCACATAATTTTTTACGTACGAATAAAAAAAATCACAAATTATCAATTATTTCTTTCAGGACCTTCATTCCATTTCGTAGATGTTTTGATTCCATACGCAAATTTAAGGAAAGGACTCTAGTTTTGACGACATATTATGATGTTACCATGTTCTTTGTTTCAGTGTATCAGCGTACTAGTGCATCTGTAGCAAAATTTACGAAATTGATACGCCTGCACTTTGTTGATATACGCAGCTGTTACACTAAAATTTATATACTTTTTTGATACACGATAATAAATACTGTTACGGGCGGATGTGTCGATTTCGTTTATAAGGCTTCTCGACAGAGGCGTGATATTAGTGATTTGGTATTAAAGTTTATTCGTTTACTCAAGTCTATATTTTTATGAATGGTTTTATTATATTTATCAAGGACTGATTTAGAACTTTTTATTTTATTTTAAGGTTATATGCTGTTAGAGGCAAATCGTGACCTAGTTATTTAAATTAAATTATTCCCGATCCGCCCTTACATTATCACCTCTTCCGACTAAACCCCATTATAATTAGATTATCGAACCGCATTGTTCATACGTATATATCCCCTTTTGATAATAATTAGATTATTATAACCTGTACCACGTTAACTATTGAAGCTAAACCGTGCAACGTTATCCGCTCTCACAATATCTAAACCTTGTAGCATTTTATATTGGTCACTGTTTTTTTGATTTATCTATAAATTTATACTTAAGCGTATATCATTTTTTAACCATGGTGAACAATTGTTGTTTCTGTGTCGACATTAGGTAAACATTATAAAATTTCAAAATACGGTTCTTTCTTTTACTTTATTTACTAAAATAATTTTTATTTATAATTAGGTCGGGTGTTAATATTATAGTCTTTATTAACATAGTAGGTTTTTTACGGTTAAAAAGGGTACTGCGCCTTGTCTTGGAATGTTTTGGAAGCTTATATCTGTCTGAAATTACATAGATATACTTCCTTTACTTGACCCAATACGATTTTTTCATTGTTTTCAAATTTGGCGGCATTCATGCCGCTATTATCACTATTATTCACTTGGGTACAAGTGCTATTTGTCTTGCCGGATTCATTGCTATATTGAAGGTATATATTTTCCATTAACACTAGCATATAATGCAAAGTTATAACATTTTCATTAATATACTATTGATTTTTATTTACAGGATAGTGTCAAATATGTCGTAGCGTTTGCCTATTTTTATATAATAAAAGTAGTTTCTGAAATAATTGATGTCATTATATTTAGTATTAAATTTAGTCATATTAAATTTTATGATTTTTATATATATTTTTTTAGCTCTATATGTCTTATAGAGGTATGATTTTATAGATTTTATTTTATTTTATTTTATTTATGCAGCATTGTGCATAATTCATTAATCTTTTATTAAATATAGCTTTACTTCGCTTTCGTTGTTTGGTATTACTCTAGAAAGATTCAAACTGAAACTCATGGTGAGCAGCTCAATGATGAACCTTCCTATGGTTTATCCAAAATGATCGTACCTAAACTTAATCTGTATAATTTTCATTCTAAAATTTTTTTCTTAAAATTTATTTGGATTCTTTGTTAATAGATTTAACCGTGGTTAACAACTGTTGTTTCTGTATTGACATTAGGTAAACATTATAAAATTTCGAAATACGGCTCTTTTAATTTGTTTACTAAAATAATTTATATTTATAATTAGGTCGGGTATTAATATTATAGTATTTAATAACATAGTAAGATTTTTACGATTAAGAATGGTACTGTGCCTTGTCTTGGAACATTTTTGGAAACTTATATCTGTCTGAAATTACATAGATATGCTTCCTTTTCTTGACCGTTTCCAATTTTGCTGATGATTTCAAACTTGTCGCTATTATTCACTTGGTCACAAGTGCTATTTGTCTTGCCGGATTCATTGCTGTATTGAGGGTATATATTTTCCATCAACACTAGCATATAATGCAAAGTTATAAAATTTTCATTAATATATTATTAATTTTTATTTACAGGATAGTGTCAAATATATCGTAGCGTTTGCCTATTTTTATATGATAAAAGTAGTTTATGAAATCATTAGTGCCATTATATTTAGTATTAATCTAAGTTATGGAAAATTTTATTATAATTATATAATATATTTAAGCTCTATATGCCTTATAGAGGTATTTAAAACAAAACATGATTTTATGGATTTTTTTTTTTTTTATACATCCCATTGTGCATAATTCATTAATCTTTTATTTAAATATAGCTTTACCTCGCTTTCGTTATTTGGTCTTACTCTAGAAAGATTCAAACTGAAACTCATGATGAGCGGTTCAATGATGAAGAAGCCACACCTTCCTATGGTTCGATCCAAATTGAAACTCATGGTGAGCTGCTCAATGATGAAGAAGCCACACATTCCTATAGTTCGATCCAAAATTAGCGTCACTGTATCACAATAACATGAAATCTATACATAATAATATACATTTATCTCATATTTTATGGCATATAGATAAAAAACATTGCGTAAAACTCGAATTAAATACGCACCACAAGTTAAAAGTATGCAACATAAAATCAAAGTATGTAGAACCTGAATTAATGTGCGTTTGAAATTAGAATTAAAATAAGGGGTTAACAAATAAGAATAAAGAGGAATTCTTACAGATACTTAATAACACTTTACGAAAAAATTTGAAACCTTAGAGTCTTTGCAATAGAAAGGGCAGAAACTCATTTGGGCGATTTTAAATCATCTCGCATAAGTTATAATACGTAATGATTAAGAATCACACTGTTTGTATGACAAGTGAGTTTCCGCCCTTTCTATCGCAAAGACCCCATATGACAAGTTTTGCGCTACCCTGCAAAAATTTACTATATACGTTTTTGATCATCGTTAATACA